AATCATATTGTGATATGAAGCGACCAATAATAAAATTAACTAATATTCTACTAAAAGTTCATATCACAACAATATTTATAAACTCAAAAATTTAAATAAAAAAGTCTTGAAGAATTTTTATAATAATAATTACTTGAAGTTATATATTAAGTTTAATAATTTAAAACTAATTATTATAATTAATAATAATTAAAGATTTATAAAATAAATCTCTTAAAGTTAAGAGTTTTATAATTAATTATTTATTCAAGTAATATAGTAAGTATATAATAATATAGTATAATTATAATATATAGTGCAATTATTAATTATTTTCAAATCAGATGAACAAGAAATTAATATTAATTTAATTTATTTTTTTATTTTTAATTTATCTTATTATCTATATTTAATTTTATTTATTTATTTAATTATGTATATTATACTTAATTAATAATTTTATTAAATTAATAATTTTTTAATTAATTATTATTAGTTTTTTTTAATTATAATTTTTTTAATATTTTACTAATTTTAATTCTTAATTACTTTATATTTAATTTAAAAATATTTTTTATAATAATTTTTTTAAAATTCTATTTGTTCTTAAGTAAATTAGATGAAATATTATATTAAAAATAATTTATAATTAGCATAGCAAGAAAATATTATATATAAAAAATCAAGAAGTGATTAAGAAAAATAATTAAGTTTAGTAAAAGTAGTTAATTATTAAGTTAAGAATAATTAACTAGTATTTTTTTATAATAAATATATATTTTTATATCTTATTCTTATTTATTTTCTTTATGCTCTATTAAAAAAGTAATTTTGTTAAAAGTAAAACTCATATAAATTATCTTATTAAGAAGATAATTAGTTATTATAAAATCTTAAAAGTTAAAAAGTAAATAATTATTATAAATATAATTATTATTATTATTTTAAATTATTTATATATATACAAGTTTAAAATAGTAATAATATATAAGTAATTATCTTATAACTTAGATAATTATTTAAAGATAATAAAATCAGTTAGTTTCTATATTTTTTAAATATCTCTTTACTAAAATTTTGAAGTCACTTTTGAAAAATAATAGCTAATATTTAGATTTTTTTGTTATTATAATATGTCATAAGTAAATATTTAATATTAATATTAATAAAGTATCTTAGTTTTACAAATTTATTAATTATTAATAAATTTAATTTATAGAATCTATCAGTATTTATATATAAAATAATCATAAATCTTTTTTTATTTTTTTTATATCTAGAAAGTCTCTATATTACTAGTATTTAATCCAATTCTAACCTGTAAAAAAAGCTAATCTCATCTATATTATAGATTTATTTAAGTAAATAAGCTTTATATATATCTTTTAATAATAGTAAAAAATTAATGATAATAATTAAATTACTGATGATAATTTTCCATAAAATTTCTATAGATAAATTCTATTATATTCTTTGAATTTTTGAAATTAATCAAAAAAGAACTTTAATATACTATTTATAACTTTCAAGCTATTTACTAATTATTTTGTTATTTCAATTAAGATAATATTTATAAGAATAGCTTTATCTTAATAAGTTAAAATAAATTCTTTAAATATAAGTTTGAATTTAGAAATTATTATAAATTTGTATCACTTTGTATTTGATTAAGTAATTTTATAATATTTCTTCATTTTTTTTTAAGATTCTTGATATAGTCAATTTATCTATTTAAATTAATTATTTTTTTTTAATCTAGTTAACATATTCTTTTCTTATTAATTTACTATTTTGATAAGTATATAAATAGAATTTACACTTTTAAAAATTAGATAAGCTAACTTTATTTTTCAATATTCTGTTTAAGCATATAGAGAAATAATTTATATTTGTAGAATTAGAAAGCTTAATACTTCTTTTATTAAAATTCTGAGAATTATTAAATAGCTTATATATCTTTAATGTTTATTTTATCTAATAAATAAGAACTTTAGCAACTTTATAAAATATTTATTATTATTATTTATTAAAGAAATATAATCTGTATTATCATAATAATTTAAATAAAGATATAACTGATTTTTTAAGCTTTATTTTAATAATAATTATAATTCTTGATTTGATAAAAATTGATCTTTATTAGAATATTAATATCTAATTATTTTTTAAATCAAATTTAAGATATAGTATAAATCACATAAAAATCATGAGTATATAATTAGAAAAGATATAATTTATATGATGAAAAATAGAAAAACTATACAATATATTTATTTCTAATTTCTAAGCTTAGAAATAAAGTAAGATATATATTTATAGAGAACATACATTTATAGAATATATATTTAGAGAGAATTGATTGTAATTTAATATTAAAAATATTTATATAAATAATATATAAGAATCTTGTTAAAGTATTATTTTTTATAAGCATAATAATATAAAGATAATTTTAAAAAAAAAGCAAAATTATATTTAATATAATTAATATTCAAAGAATATTTTTCATACTTACAAAAAAGATAATAAAGATATATATTATATATTATATGTATAATTTTTGATTGGCTATATTTATTTGGAATTATGTGTTACTAATCTGTTATAATGAATCTGTGACTAAACTGACTAAATAACTTGTCTTGCTTTAAGAAGCTCTCAAAATAATCAATTGATAATATAATTTTAGTAACTTCTTAGATAATGTTGCCATATTTTCTTCTACAGAGTATTAAAGAATTCATATATATTCTTTATTTGATAAATATCTTATTTCTTATTCTAAACAAATATAATGAAAATTCAGAATTTAAATTAGAAAATTTGAAATTTAATTCAGTAAATCAATTATTACAACTTAAGATGAATAATATTTTAATTATGATATTAGAGTTGCTGTTAAAGTTATATTGCACAGATTATGATAGAATAAATTTTGCAAAGAACATTTTTTGTTAGAACACATTATGTTTTTTTTTTACTTTTGATTATCCTTAAAAACTACTACTACCGTTTGCATTTATTTGATCACGTTTTCTAATTAATTTAATTTTTTAATGCTGGCCAAAATCCAAATATTTCCGGAAGGGAAAACGCGTGATTAGAAAGGGACGCGTAATTTAAGGAAAAACATCGTTCAAGGTGTTTTTGTGATATATTAGGACAACGCGTCGCATTATTTACAAAACATACTGAAAAGCATAAATACAGCGTCAAGGGTCCATACTTTTAACTTAGACACCACACCACGTTACAAAAAAAAATGCTGACAACTCAGAATCTCAACCTTCTTCCCAATCCATCTTCAAATAAGAGTTTCGTTAAAAATGAAAATTTCAAAGATACTAAAAAAACTTTCATAAAACGACTTTCTACCGGCAAAGAAAATACTCACCATGCCGTAATGAAAACAGTGTCCGTATTTACCAACGAGAATGATGAAAATTCTGCTAGAAAAGAAGAAAAAGTTGGCACAGTTATTGAAGAGCCGTTATTGAAGCCAAATCCACGACGTTTTGTTTTATTCCCTATAAAATTTAATGAGGTAAATCACGTGCGTTTTTAATTTGTTAAATCTTGATCATGATCATTTTATTAAAGCAAAGTTTTTATTTATAAATTCATAGATCTGGCAATTTTATAAAAAGGCTGAAGCTTCATTCTGGACAGTTGAAGAAGTCGATTTGTCCAAGGATCAACACGATTGGGATAATAAACTAAACGATGATGAACGACATTTTATTTCGCATGTTCTGGCGTTCTTTGCCGCCTCCGACGGGATAGTCAATGAGAATTTGGTCGAACGTTTCAGTAATGAAGTTCAGATTCCTGAAGCTCGCTGCTTTTATGGTTTTCAAATCATGATCGAAAATATTCATTCCGAGATGTATTCCCTTTTGATTGACACCTATATCAAGGAGCCATCGCAAAGGGATTATCTATTCGATGCGATAGAGACAAGTAATTTATTAAAAAGATACACATCTATACATCTATTATCGATACTAATGTTATCGATTTATTATTTTTTATAGTTCCATGTATTCGAAAGAAAGCCGAATGGGCACTACGTTGGATTTCTGATCAAAAATCATCTTTCGCAGAAAGATTAATTGCGTTTGCGGCCGTTGAAGGAATTTTCTTTTCTGGCGCCTTTGCTTCCATATTTTGGCTAAAGAAAAGAGGATTGATGCCTGGTCTAACATTCTCAAATGAACTCATCTCTCGAGACGAAGGATTGCATTGTGATTTCGCTTGTCTTTTGTTCACGCACCTGCATAAACGTCCAAGCCGAAAAGTCATTGAATCAATTATCACTGAAGCTGTTTCAATTGAGCAAGAATTCCTCACAGAAGCGTTACCAGTTGCTCTAATTGGAATGAATTCGACTCTTATGAATCGTTACATCGAATTTGTTGCCGATCGTTTACTGGTTGCCCTTGGTTGTCCTAAATATTATCGAGCAGAAAATCCTTTTGATTTTATGGATTTAATTTCACTTCAAGGTAAAACTAACTTCTTCGAGAAAAAAGTATCTGAATATCAGAAATCTGGCGTCATGAACAAATCTACATCAAATGCAAGAACCGAGAATACATTTACACTTGATGCAGATTTCTGACTAAAAATAGAACCAATAAAATTGGGTGACGTTTTAAAAACTCGGCTCAATATTAAAATTGACTTGAGTTAGTCCCGAAGTTAGTTTATGATAACCGATAAATACTGTACACTATGTTAATGTAATAACAAATAATTTGATTAAAAACGTGTAAATTTATTCAATTTAAGACGCGTATCTCTACAAATCTTTCTATAAAATAAAATTTATGCTATATATACAAGTTAGGCTGATCACAACTTACCAATTATATTTGAAAATTTCGAGGGATGGAAGTTAAACATTCCTCGTATGATAAGCTGATCAAGATTTTACAAGAAGACACAAAGCCTAGTAAAAGAAGAAAATTAACAAAAAACACATACCCTGTAGATAACTTTATATTTCAGCAGAAAGAACATTTGGCAAACAAAGAGGTTTCCAAGGTTTCTATTGTTCATACAAAGGAAGCGAAAAGGGCGAAATCAGAGGAAATTTCTTCGAAAATAGAAATTAAATCAAATAATTCTGATTCCGAAGAAGAGGAAGATTACCAAGGTAATATATAATGTGAATATTTGATTTTTTTTATTGGAATCAATAAATAATTAATCAATTACATGTTAATAGATAATTACGAGCGACATTATGGAGAGCATGATCCAAATTCTTTAAAGAATCAGATTTCAATTGTGGAGACCAAAGCATGGAGTGTGACAAACGATGAAAATCCTTCTTTAAAATTAGTATCGAAAAGTATGACGAACAATGATTGTAAAGAGCCGCCAACAATAACTCATCTTGATCCATCGAAGGTATAACTTAATTACTTAATTACATGTATTGTCTTCTTAACTTTTATTCTTCAACCTGAGATTTTATCGACGCGTATCATATGCTTGTGATCAAAATCCAAAGATTAAGAAACGAATATGCGAATCGTGGACAAAATTTGGTATATTTGATCGCGATGATGCTATTTATTTTACGTAGCAAGCATAAGGTTACCTCTTATATATACATATATATATATATATATATTAGACGAAAATGGTGAATATTTGACTGAACTGCAGTCGAGTCTTCTTCACCAATTTTTACAATATCGTGATATTCTCTATACAAATCGGAACATAAAAGATGCTCGCGAAATCAGATATATATATGCATTGCATGCATTAAATCATATTTTCATGTGAGTTCTAATATATTTGCATCGAAAATCTCAAATTTACTGATTAATTTGTAATGGGAATATAGAGGACGAGATCGCATAATAAAAAACAATGCAAAAATTGCACGTGCTCAAGCAACGAATAAAGAAATAAAGTAAGCGTGTTTTTTTAATCACAAATCATTGCAAATTCTTTAAAGGATTGAATAATCATATATAATTATTTAGTGAAATTCGGGATCAAGGATTTACAAGACCCAAAGTTTTGATTTTATTGCCTTTTAAAAATTCAGCATTAGATTTAATTAAAATCTTAATTATTTTATCTGGGTCTCAGCAACAGGCAATATTCAGTTTCAGCTACTAATAATAATAATAATAATAATAATAATAATTATTGTTGAATGCTGTGCATTTATTGAATTATTGAGTTGCTAATTTTTTAGGAAAACCGTAAAAGATTTTTGGAGGAGTTTGATATCCCAAAGGAAGAGGAAACCATAAACCCTAATAAGCCAGGTATTACTTGATTTTTTAGTCTCTTCGAATAATTAGCAAAAAAAAATAATTCCAATTTTATTTCTATTCCAGCTGATTTTTTAGCAACTTTTCGAGGAAATATAGATGATTCCTTTCGAATTGGTATAAAATTTACCCGCAAGACAATGAAATTATATGCTGATTTTTATTCTGCCGATCTTATTATCGCTTCACCCTTGGGTCTAAGAATTATAATCGGGGCTGAAGGGTAAGATAAAATAAAATACAGAGATTCAGTATACCAATATTGAGATCATAACACTTTATTTCAGTGACAAGAAACGAGATTTTGATTTCTTATCTTCGATTGAGTTGTTAATTATTGATCAATGTGATACTTTGTTAATGCAAAATTGGGATCACGTTGAGGTATGTAAACCATTAAAAATATATAAAATTAAATTCGTTTATAATAACTTTCTTTTCCATATATAGCACATTTTTGATCATCTCAATTTAATTCCGAAAGAACCTCATGACTGTGATTTTGCTCGTTTAAAGAATTGGTATTTGGATGGCTAGTAAGTTCTAATTTTAGGAATATGACAATGCTTTAATTATTTCTGTGACTCTCTCTAACAGCTTGCACTATTATTATAGTGCAAAATATCTTCGGCAAACTCTGGTTTTTGCCGACTATTTAACTCCTGAGATGAACGCATTATATAACAAATATCTTTTCAATATAGCAGGCAAATTAAAGATAAAACAGTTGCATCAAGGCTCGATATTAGATGTAATTCCTCTAGTTCAACAGGTGAACAATTTAATATAATGTGTGTGTTTATAAGTGAATATTGACGTAATGTTCGTTGAAATTAGATTTTTACTCGTATTGAATCTTCCTCTTTGCTTGACGCTGGTGATGCACGATTCAAGTACTTTATTGGAAAGGTAAGTATTCATCTGATAGTTCATTGCATTATATTTCGTCTCCAGTCTTCTTATATACTTTAATTGCATAAATAGACACTTCCATCTCTGCGCAAATCAGCGATTGTAAATCAAACTCACACCATGATATTCGTATCTTCCTATTTTGATTTTGTACGTTTACGTAATTATTTTGAAGATAATGCGTATTCATTTGCCAGTCTGTGCGAGTAAGCAATAATTGATTTCATAATTTTGGCCATGAAATTATCAAAAATTAGCCTCAATATTTTTTATATAATTACAGGTATACTCCCAGTCCTGATGTTAAACGTGCACGAGCGCATTTCTTTAACGGAAAGCGAGATTTTTTGCTCTATACAGAGCGGTTACATTTTTTCAGAAGGTTGCTATATATTATTTCCTTTTTATGACTTATTTTAATTAATGAAATAATTTAATTTTGATCCTTTATATAAAGATACCAAATTCGCGGTGTTCAACATATTGTATTTTACGATTTACCAGATCATCCACATTTTTATTCTGAACTTTTAAATCTATTATCAATTACTGTGGAAGATTCAACTTCAAAATCAATGTCATCTGATAATTTATTTTCTTGCCAAGTATTATTTACGAAATATGATCATTTGAAATTAGAGCGGATTGTAGGCAGCAGTCGTGTGAATAAGATGCTGAATGTTAATAAAAATATTTTCATACTTGCTTGATTTAATAAACATGAGAATTCATAATCCAGATTCTTACTAATACTTTTAATAATATAGAAGACAAATAAAACATAAATATTATGCTCTTATAATTTTTAGAATATTATATGAAGTTTATTATTTCATGAACACAACTTGTTATTTATTTTTATTCAGTTTATTATATATCTTTTAATTATAAACTTTCATTTTAGCTAAATTATTAGATATATATAATATATTATATATTATAAAAATCTGAGTAAAAATCTTGATTATATCAAACAAATAATAATATAATAATATTTAATAAAAATTATAAAAGTATAACAGGTATTAAGATTTTTTACTGATTATTTTATTTTATCATATTTTTTACAATTTTTAATATTATAGTACTAAATATTATTTATAATAACTTATTTTTACTTATTATACTAGTAATTTTTATCACAAAAATAACTTTCTTGTTTATTTCATCTTTTATTTCTTTTTTATTTGACTCTCAAAAATTAATCTTTCTTATTTAACTTGATAATAACTTTTTAAAAGCAAATAATAAATTAATTAAAGAATTTTAGCTTAAAAAAATTTTTTATTAAATTTTTTATTATTATATATAGTATTTTTAGCTTTTATTAATATATCTTTTACTAAAATAATATAAATACTAATAAATATAATAATAAATTTTTTATTATTAAATATAATTTTTTTAATATTATTAAAAAAATTAAAAAAAATTTATTATCTAAAAAATTATTAATTAATTTTACTTTAAAAAATTCTGATATAATTTTCAAAATTATATTATAAAAATTTTTATTATCTAATTCAAAAAATAATATTAATATATCTATTTATTCTAAAAGTTAACTTAATTTATATTTAATATTATTTTATTTTTATATATATTATCATAAATTACTATATAGAATACTTTTCTAATAAAATATTCTTCATATATTATATCCAGATATATATTAAAGATATCATTCCAGAAAATTAATTAAAATCTGGATTTATATTATAGCTTAATAAAAATTTGAATTTATTTAAATTAGTATTAATAAAGAAAATTTAAAAATCTAATTATTAATTCTAATCATTAATATAACTAAGTTAATTAACTTCATAAAACTCATTTTCTTGATTATTTTTTATATTTTTTTTTCAAATTTATAAATTATCAATAGAATTTTTTTCATCTTTACTAGATTTTTTATTATTATTATTACTAAATTCAGTAATTATATCAAAAGATTCTTGATTTCAAGTTATTAATTATCATATTTCACAAAATATCTCTTTTTATTTGATATTGATTAGATAAGCTATTATACTAGATCATTTTTTTCAACTTGAACATAGTCTTGTAAATTCAAATAAACTTAAATTATCTCAGAATAAGAAGATCATTATATATATTAGTATTTTTTTAATACTTGCATTTTAGTTTTTATTATAGCAAGATATTCTCTAAAAGTAATAAGTTTTTAAATAAAAATATATCAATATAAATAAATTATATATAACAACTTACATATATATATTAGTTTTGTAATCAATTAGATATTCATTATTTTTTACTTATTTGAATTTGTTAAAATCAAAATTAATATTATTATAATAATTATTAGCTAGTACTAGATCAGTTTGATTATAAATCATAATATCTTGACATATTCTTTCATTTTTTTTATTTAGATATTATTAAAATATGAATTACAAAAATTATTTTATCTATTTGAATTACTCAAAATATATTAAATTTATATACATATAATAAATAATTAATAAATTTATAAGAAATAAAGATTTCTTATAATAAAATTTACATCATGAAAAAATTTTGCTATTTTAATATGCAAGATAACAATATTATTTAATATCAAACTAAATATAATAATTACTTTATTATCTATTATTAGAGGATATTTTATAAATAATACTAAATATAAAATATTTTTGATCTTTAATTCTTGTGTAAATTGATAAAAATCAAGTTTTCTTCTTTATCTAGATTAAATTTCTAAATTAATAAGAATTATTAAAATATCTATTTTTTTTGTATCATGCTATTCTTGATTTTATTTATATGTTTAAGAGTTTTCAAGTTAATAAAGTCAGTTACTTATATATTCTCAAAGAAAACTTTATTTTCTTCTATTTTAAATAATCAAGAAATGTGTAAATAAAGATGTATTTGAATTTAATTAGTTTGAGTAACAAATTATATGTATTTTTTTATCTGATTTAGATTGAGAATTTCAAACAAAAAATCTTTTTTCATTTTAATAGGTAAAGTAAAGTATATTAAAAGAATAAAAATTTAAATTTTATATCAAAATATAATGTAATTATATTTTAAATAATTATATTATATGATTAAAATTATCACAAAGATTTTTTTGCAAAGTATAGTTAACTCTCTATAATAAAGTAATAGTTTTATTATATAAAAATTTGAAAAATTTTACTATAAATTGATTTATTATATTCTATATATTATTTTACTAATTAAATTTAAAAAAATCTTTATTATAATTCAATTTTAATTATAATTAGTATTATTATAAAAAGCTTTAACTATATATTTATTTAACTAAAATAGAAAGATTTTACTTATATTAAAAAGAATATAATATTAATCTAGATTCTATATAATACATATTCTATATATTATATATATATATATATAATATTTGAGTAGATATAATATAGTTTTTTGTATTTTAATTAAAATAACTATATTATATTAATATATTTAAATATATTATACTTATTTAGGATATATTTCTTGCAAAATATAATAAATATATAACTTATTCAATAATTCAATCTGTATTAAAAATAAATCTGATTTTAATTATATATAATTAATTCTCTTTATAAGAATATGATTGAATCAGAAAATTAGATTCTTATATAAAGATATTCTTATAAATAAAAAACTCTTTTTATAAGAATATTATATATATAATATTAAATAAAGTTCTTATATAAGAGTTTTATTAATAAAAAAAACTTGCTAACATATTTTTATACAAAAATTATTATTTAAACTTATCAAATATTCAAATTTACCTGTTTTTTCACTTTAATTTTTATTACTTCAAAAATTAGTATCTTTTTACATAATATTTTTATCTTATTATTACTAAATATAGTTTTTGTTTATTCATAAAATATAATAAGAATTTTCAATATATTACTCACTTTTATTATAAATATAGAAAATGGTAGAGACTCTTCATTTTTCTCATTCAAATTAAGTATGTCATTTTCTATTATATTATTAATCTGAAGTATATTAATAATTTTATTATCTTTAAGTAATTCTTCTATTATAATAGGTTCTTTAATAATATTAATATATACTTCTATATTTTAAACAAAATATTGGATAACTTAATTAGTAATATTAAAATAATATAAAAAATTCAGAATCTCATTTTGCATATCTAAAGCTTTATTTAACATATTATTTATTTAAATATTTGTAATATTAGTTTCAGAAAGAATTCCTATTAAATTTCAGTAATTTCATATTATTTCTTGTATAATCTTATTTTAAGTATGAAAAGTATAATTAATAACTTATTTTATATTTAACTTATTCCTAAAAATATAGAAAAAAAGTGATAAGTTAAAGAATAATAAATAAAAAAAAGAATAATAAAATAAAAGAAGAAAATAATAAGATAAAAGAAGAGAATAGTAAAGCAAAAGAAGAGAAATAGTAAAGTAAATAAAGAAAAATAACAGAAAATAAGTCAGAAATAAGAAATTAATAAATAATAAAG